TTAGTGAATAGCCATGATAGAGCCCTGTCATGCCAACAGAAACAGTAACCCAGTAGAGGTCACCCTTTGGGCCAGACTAATTTCTTTTCAGCATAAAGGAGGTAGCCAAATACCTTTTTTAATACACTACTGGCTTGTGACTGGGTTAATCCATTGATTACCAATGATGTATGTGTGCATGTATAAAAGAGGTAATCATCCATTCTTTGACAATATGTATACAGGATTGAGTAGAAGTTTGAGTGAGACTGATACAGAAATATCTGTGTGTTTTCTTGCATCTGTGACTTTAAGCAGCTACTCTTTTTCCTGCTTGTAACACTCCGGCTCCTGCTTACTGCATGTGGGTGCAAGTGTGTCAATGCAATGCGGCGTTACTGGGAACTCTGGATAATCGGGTGGCAACATGGTATATATTGGGGGCATTGCAATAACATATGAAACAATACAAAGAGAAGGAACAAATGTTACCAGGACAAAAGGTAGTGAGCTGATGCAAGTAAAACTTAACTTCTAATAGTTTATTGTAACTAATTGGTGATGGAAGTGAAAAACTACTAAACAAATATAAAATAAGTAAACTTAAATAAATAAAGATAGTAGATAAGGCTCAATGTGCCAAGAGATTATCTGTGAATGAACAGGGTATAACTACATTTTTCGTTCAATACCATTCATGAAAGTGTCTGAAATGTATAGATTCATGTTGATGCTTTCTGGAGGAGTTGCAGGTTAAAGTTCCCTTTCCGTGGGTTGTGGTGCAATTATTCAAAAACATAAAACTAGATCATCAATGTTGGCATAATGGAAATTAATAAACATATTTAGCAACAGGAGTGAGGATACCAGGGTTGGTAAAGGATCCTATATGTAGAAGTATCTTTAGTCTGAATTTCTGGTAAATGTTGCCTATATGTTAGATGCCATATAGATAACCTTGGTGGTACTGCTGTTGACAAAAGGCGTTAGTATGTACTATAATGCCGGATTGTTGGGACACTACAAATTTTGAAGCGGTTATGAATTGACAAGCTTTGTGAACTAAAAATAATCTCTTACCGAATGCCCTGCTGTCACATCCCACAGACCAAGGAACCTCCAGGATCTGCAACTATAATGCCCCGATTGCTTGGACACTGTAAATTATGAAGAGGTTATGAAATAACAAGCGTTGCAGTGTCTGCATCTATGGGTGCCTTTAATCTCAGTTAGCCAAGTGGAGTTAGTTTTCTTGGATTCCTGGCGACTGTGTAATAGAAGATCCTGCGGTTCCTTTGTCTGCGGGCTGTGACAGCGGGGCGTTCGGTAAGAGATTCTTTTAATTCAGGATTTTGCACCAGGATTGACCAATTCCTCGAGTGTATCAGACATAGTAGACCATGCCTCATCAAAAGTGGTAAAACATCTGATCTTGGGGGTGTCTGATTGAGGTCTGGTAGCTTGCAAACTTACAGTCCTGTTTATTTGACATTCTTTCTGGTAAGCTCTCTTTAGGACCCTATTGGAACAACCTAAAGCTTTAAACTTCACTCACGAATGAAAGTGGCATCTTCTGAACAGTTTCTACTAACAAGTAGATATTGAAACTATTAAAAGTTAAGTTTTACTTACATCAGCTCACTACTTCGAGGCCTGGTAATGTGTTCCTTCTCTTTGCATTACAAAAAGAAGGAAAGATTAAGCCCTATAGTTACCTCAATATCATTGCTCCCAACTTCGTTTGTTCTCTTTAACATATGAAACAATACACTTGGGATAATGTGACAACAAATGAGGCGATAAAGTAATAGATAATAGTTTAGGGAATTACAGGATAGGTGGGTGAAATATGTAAAATGGAGAGGACTATAGAATAGATAAGGTGCATAGGAAACATCACAATTCGATATAATAAAAACAATTATTTAAATGAATAAATAAATTAGGGGGTAAGGTCCCTTAGAAGGAGACAGTCTTCTCTTAGAAGCTGCTCCACTTTCTGTGAGATCTCAGTCTAAATCCACTGAATGAAGCATTTAGCAATATCATACAGTGTATGATGACGCTAACTGTAAATATTTTCCTTTTTTTAAGTTAGACAAACACTACAGCCATGGATTTTGACAGATGTAAACATTGCCATACCTCAGAAACAGAAATGTTTTACGTTGTCCAAAAACAGAGACAGGGTCCATGCAACAAAATCCCTTCATCCCGCTAAAGTGGTTTTTGTGCTAACAGATCACCTTTAAAATGTTGTTCCTGATCTTAGCGCCAATAAAACTATGCATGAGTACAAAGGTGATGGCGCATAGAGCCTCCCGAATCTACTCTCCAGATTAAGACATCATGGCATTCTACCATCCAACCTCTCTTAAAGGACCACTATAGGCTTAATGAAGTGGTCTGGGTGCCTGGTCCAGCTAGGGTTAACCCTTTTTTTTTATAAACATAGCAGTTTCAGAGAAACTGCTATGTTTACACTGAGGGTTAATCCAGCCTCTAGAGCCTCTAGTGGCTGTCTCACTGACAGCCGCTACAGGCGCTTGCGTGCTTCTCACTGTGAAAAAATCAGTGAGAAGACGCCAGCGTCCATAGGAAAGCATTGTAAATGCTTTCCTATGAACTGGCTGAATGAGCGGCGGCTCCTGCCGTGCATGCGCATTCAGCCGATGACGTCGCTATGGAGGAGGAAAGCTCCTCGCCTGGCGCTGGAGAAAGGTAAGATTTTAACCCCTTCCTCTCCCCAGAGCCCGGCGGGAGGGGGACCCTGAGGGTGGGGGCACCCTCAGTGCACTATAGTGCCAAGAAAACGAGTATGTTTTCCTGGCACTATAGTGGTCCTTTAAAGACACATAAAGTACCAAAGACGGTTGAAGTATTTACTTTGTCTGAAGTCTGTCATATTTATGACAGTTTATAAAAGTGACATCTCAGCATCCTCTAACCTTATTGCCACTGCTTTGGGATACTTCCTAAAGCATGGGGCACTTCCCTCAAAATGCAGTCACTCTGGCTTCATTGCAAGCACACCAATATCAAAATGGAGTAAAATCTTACACTAAAATCCTGTATTCCTCTGGCAAAGGACAAGATGCATTTGCCAGAGGAATAATTAAAGCAACTACAATGACTGTGCTGCAGTTGCTGAAATGGAGAGCAGGAGAACCACCTTTAGGAGGGCATGCATAGACCTCTATCATACCTCCCAAATATTTAAAAATGTACAAAAGAGAGATACGTAAATTTTAGGAGTGTTACTGTCAGCCATAGAGCATTCTGCAGGAGAAGTGCATGCAGCGCTTCTCCAATCAAATTCTGAGAAGCACTGATTGTACAGCGCTATGGAATATGTTGGCACTTTATAAGTAATAATAATTAAAGAACAGATTCTGACTCATTATAGCAGGGGATGCACCCATCCCTGGCTGTCAGGAAGACAGCCACTAGAGATGTGTTTAGCCATGAAATGTAAACATTGCTGTATTTCCAAAGCTGCAATGTTTTACACTGCAGGGCTAACACTACAAGGGCCACGACACCCAGATCACACTGAGATGATGTAACCTTGGTGAAGAGTGGTTCTTTGAAGTAATTGCTGTGAGTATTATTGATACTATGAAAAGCAATAAAATAGAAAAGTGGGATTAGTGCTCCATATAGGGACTGTCTCTCCTAAATATGGGACAGTTGGGATCTATGCTCTCTGCAGAGAATTGGCTGACATGTTAAAGCAGAGTTATTTGTTTTTTAATCATTTAAAATCTATATATTTGCTAGCACAATGTATTGATGAAATTTACCATGGGACACAGTAACCCAACACAAATTGATGCTGGATGGCTAAGTAAGGCATCACTTGAAATTAGTGACAGCTCTGTGGTCAAGCCACGAGTATAGGTACCAAGTCAACTTACCAGCATCCAGCTCTACATTGTAGCAAGGCAGGGGATCCAGAGACAGCTTGTAGCTCTCGAACTTGGGATCTAGAAGCTGCCTGTTAACTTTCAGGGAACAATTAGCAGCTGCCATGGTCTCTGTGATCACACCACCACAACCAAGCTGGAAACCTCACTTATCACACCAGAATGTACAGCGGACCAAAACCACAGAGTAAAAGCTTCCACATCCGGCAGGGGAGACATTTACTGTCGTACCAAAGTGTGGTGGAGCTTGCTGGGATATTGAGTCCCCTCCCACATGTGTATTTAGAATTGCCATAGCATATCAAATCACTCCCCACAAAGTATCTTTAATTTATGATTCATTATTGTAGATGTAATTATACTACTTACTCTCCAAGTGCTTCTGGAAATTATATATATATATATTTATTTTTTTTTAAAGAGGATTATATGTACTATATATAGTATATTGGTGTGAAATCCCCTTATTTTATGGGGATACCAAGCCACCAAATCATCATTATTGCTTTATATCACTATTGTTCATTACTAAATTAGCTGCATTTACACATCTTACTTTTAGAAATAAAAATGATGCAAAGAAGTGTCAGTATTTGTGGTACTGCTATTTTTCATACTGTCTATGGATAAGCAATGGGTGTAACAGTTTATCTGAATATTTTACAGGAATAATACAATAGCACTGTATAATCACTCTGGGGATTGTATTTCTATTTATTTTTTTAATTTATGTCGTGATGCTTGTTTCAGTTTTGGTGGCATAGTGAAAACAAAAAGCATACTACTGCATTACATGGTGCACAGCAGGCACATTCCACCTGTTTAATAATTAAGAAGTTTTTGAAAAGATGCCTTCCTCCAGTTTAAACAGATTTTTACAGCTGCTATCCAATATCCCTCACCCACCAGCCTCACTAATAACATGGGGGTTGTAGTCTCCCTCCATTTATTCTTATTAATGAGCCAGCCAGCACTTTGCTGTTAATTTTGCAGACTGTTTTCTTGCTGTACTTTACATTGTGTCACACTTTTGCTGCAGCACGTGGGCGCTTCATACTGAGAGCTGAGTGCCTTATTCTTGTTACTTCCGCCTCCCACCACTGGCGGAAGCCCTGTTTCAGTCGCGCGGCGCTGACTGATGACGTAATCTTGAAACCCCTCCATGTTGCAGGGTAGTAGACTGAGATAAAACGACACACCGCTGGTTGCCGAGTAACTTTGTGCTGTGTGTTCCCCACGCCCGGTGAGTATATCCTGTATGACCATAAACCTCTATGTATGCTCGGATAAAAAAAAAAGAAAATGCTGCATCCGTCTGTTCCGAAGAGCTTGCAATCTAATCCCCTGGTTTTAGCACACTCTTCTATGGATTGTTTAACAGTAGATGTCCCAGGTTATTGTCATTGTCCTGTGCTTATCTGGACGCCTTGTCCCTAAGAGCTTGCAATCTATGTCACAGGTTATTGCCACTGTCCCATGCTTATCTGGACGCCTTGTCCCTAAGAGCTTCCCAGATTATTGCCACTGTCCCATGCTTATCTAGATGCCTTTTCCCTAAGAGCTTGCAATCTATGTCACAGGTTATTGCCACTGTCCCATGTTTATCTGGACGCCTTGTCCATAAGAGCTTGCAATCTATGTCCCAGATTATTGCCAATGTCCCATGCTTATCTGGGCGCCTTGTCCCTAAGAGCGTCCCAGATTATTGCCAATGTCCCATGCTTATCTAGATGCCTTTTCCCTAAGAGCTTGCAATCTATGTCACAGGTTATTGCCACTGTCCCATGTTTATCTGGACGCCTTGTCCATAAGAGCTTGCAATCTATGTCCCAGATTATTGCCAATGTCCCATGCTTATCTGGGCGCCTTGTCCCTAAAAGCGTCCCAGATTATTGCCAATGTCCCGTGCTTATCTGGACGCCTTGTCCCTAAGAGCTTCCCAGATTATTGCCACTGTCCCATGCTTATCTGGATGCCTTGTCCATATGAGCTTGCAATCTATGTCCCAGGTTATTGCCACTGTCCCGTGCTTATCTGGACACCTTGTCCCTAAGAGCTTGCAATCTATGTCACAGGTTATTGTCACTGTCCCATGCTTATCTGGACGCCTTGTCCATAAGAGCTTGCAATCTATGTCCCAGGTTATTGCCACTGTCCCGTGCTTATCTGGACACCTTGTCCCTAAGAGCTTGCAATCTATGTCCCAGGTTATTGCCACTGTCCCATGTTTATCTGGACGCCTTGTCCCTAAGAGCTTGCAATCTATGTCCCAGGTTATTACCCCTGTCCCATGCTTATCTGGACACCTTGTCCCTAAGAGCTTCCCAGGTTATTGCCACTGTCCCATGCTTATCTGGACGCCTTGTCCCTAGGAGCTTGCAATCTATGTCCCAGGTTATTGCAACTGTCCCATGCTTATCTGGACGCCTTGTCCCTAAGAGCTTGCAATCTATGTCCCAGGTTATTATCCCTAAAAGCTTCCCAGATTATTGCCACTGTCCCATGCTTATCTGGAAGCCTTGTCTCAAAGAGCTTGCAATCTACAGTTACCGAACTGTGATACTATGTATAGCTGGTCAACAGTTTTCCTGTTTACAACATTATTCTATGCTAATACAGTAAAATAAATCATGAAGGCCTCACACAACATTGTATCATTAATTAAACATATTGTGATGTAATTTGCTAAGAGTACTTTCACAATGGACTACACACACACACACACACTTTTACAGGGTTATTCACTAAATTGATCATTCAAGGTGAGTTCAAAGAGAATTTCAAATGTAAGGCTAACATGGTGAACTGAAAAAAACATTCTCTAACTCCACTATCCTTCCAGTTAAGTGAATGTGGCTTAAAATTTTGAATTTCACTGTGAATTTTCACTTTTGTGAATAAACCCATAAATATAACCCATAGATTCACTTTAGCGCAGTGAACTGTACTTTTTAAAGGTAGGAACACCAATTCTCCCGCTGGCATTTTTTTACTTCATTGCATTATTACTATATAGCTACTAGACTGTTTGTGTGTGTGTGTGCGGTTGTTTATTTTTTTTATTTTTTTATAAATGTCAATAATCTCGTTCATTTTGTCTGATTTGCTAAGAGTACTTTCACAATGTAAGCTAGTACATTGTCACATTTATACTTGATAAATTTGTATCTTGAAACCGTAAAACAATTTGTAACAAATAACATTACAAGGAATCTAAAGGCATCAGCTGTTTGTTTCATAATAGCACAAAAATAAATGTGTCAATAGGGTAAACAATTTATACAGAGAAAGAATGTACAATTGCAAATAAGGCATTATGGACCGTTAAAGGGACATTATAGGCACCAGGACCACTACAATAGTATTCTAAAACATCAGTGTAAATGTGGACACACCAGTCCTCATGATCCAGCAACAGTCCAGGATTTATGTATTTCCTTTTCTATTCCAATGGAGCTGTGGACAAATCCTAAACTGGTGTTGAGAGCTGGTTTGGGAACTACTGGTATATAGATTGATCTCCCATGGTTCTAGGGAGCTTGCGATCCAGTTTTACATGTCAGCCGCATCATCCACTATTCTAAATGTATCTAATGTGTTTTTTTTTTCTCTATTCCATGTAAGCCTTCAACATGAATAAAGATGCTCAGATGAGAGCTGCAATTAATCAGAAACTCATTGAAACAGGGGAGAGAGAACGGTAAGTAAAGACCTTTTCAAAAATATAAATGGAGATAACTGCACAGAATGCATTCACAGAATCGAAGCGTAAAAAGGCATATCATCAAATCCTTTTGGGTTCTTAAGTTCTCCTATTTTTCTTTGGCTTTCACCTCTTCTAAAATGGACCAAATAAATAATAGTTGGTGGCTGTGATTGGTTAAGAGCTGATCATTTCTAGCCTATCAAAACTTCCATTGCCGGTATGATTTGGTATGACTAGAAAGAAATGTTCAATCTCTTCCTTCACGATTCCTCTCAGGCTGTGGGTGGCCTCTGATCCTTCTTTAGGGTTAAACTGCTCAGAAGTGGCTTAACATTGAATGGAGAGACTGTTCCAGGAGACTTAAAGGACTACTCTAGGGACCCAGACTACTTCAGCTTAATGAAGTGGTCTGAGTGCACGGTCCAGCTAGGGTTAACCCATTTTTTTCATAAACATAGCAGTTTGTTTATCAATGGGTTAAGCCTTCCCCCAAATCCTCTAGTAGCTGTCTCATTGACAGCCGCTAGAGGCGCTTGCGTGCTTCTCACTGTGATTTTTCAGTGAGAAGACGCCAGCGTCCATAGGAAAGCATTATGAATGCTTTCCTATGTGACCGGCTGAATGCGCGCGCAGCTCTTGCCGCGCGTGTGCTTTCAGCCGCATGGGAGGAGAAGAGGAGGATCAGAGGAGGAGAGCTCCCCGCCCAGCGCTGGAAAAATGTAAGTTTTAACCCCTTTCCAGGGGCGGGAGAGTGACCCTGAGGTTGGGGGCACCTTCAGGGCACTATAGTGCCAGGAAAACGAGTGTTTTTCCCTGGCACTATAGTGGTCCTTTAAGGCACTATAGCCACTTCAATAAGATGAAATGGCTATAGTGCACAGTGTCCATTTAATATAAATTTGAAAGACAATGTTATCATGACTTTTTTGTATGAGTAAACAGGAAGGGTGACCAATATAACCAAGATTAATAAAATAGAAAAACAAGCATTTTTTTCTGAAATTTTTAATTATCAATTTAACTATGAAAATATTTTATGTACAGGCTGTCACTGTATGTGCTTATCATGTAAACAAAGAAAGTTTGATCATATTGCATAGCAACTAGCACTATTCTGTGAGCACGCTCTTTCTGTAATTTATGTTTTCTGTCTAATGGCATGTACTATGCATGCATTATGGCTTGAGAAAGGAGGAGGGCAGGTCAAAACAGGAGCTCTTAACTTTAAAACTATATGCTAGGAATACAAACTCCTGTCCCTAGCACTATAGTTTCCCCTTTGCTTGCGCAACCCCCACCCTCCCACTGCAGAGCAGAACCCTTTGTCATTTACCTGAATACAGCATCGATGTCTCTTAGCACTGGGTCAGGCTCTGTCTTTGCTCCTCGTTACACCTACGTCAGGGACATAATGCAAGAGCTCTACAAGCGCATTAGGACAGCCCCATAGGAAAGCATTATATAATGCTTTCCTTTGGGGTTTTTGGTAACATTGGATGTCCTCATGCATAGTGTGAGGACGTCCAGCTTCAGTTTTACGATTCAAAGTCGCCTAACTTCCAGACCGCCAGTATAGGTGGAGTTTACCCTAGATAGTAATTAGTGCCGTTTCTCAAAATAATTACTATTGCAGATTTAAGGGGACTGAGACAGTGCACCCAGACCACTTCAATCCGCTAAGGTGGTCTGGGTGTCTATAGTGTCCCTTTAACACTGAGTGTTGGATGTGTGTTTTTTGTTTGTTTGCTATAAAAAGAGCATATTCATCACCAAGAAAAGTATTGTGCTCTGACTGTCATCCCAGTTCTATAAATACAGCTATAATTTTGAGACTTCCTGGTTTGGCCTGACACTATCCTGAGTTAGGAGTTCTAATTCTGAATCTTGTTTTACTCTCCCTATCCGTGGCAGCACAGTAATGTGTTAGCCCCTCCCATCCCCAAAGAGACAGGAACCTGATTAGTAACCCCTCCTATCCCTCCTGCCCTCAGTCATGGATTTCATCAAACAAGCGATTTCTCAGGGTATTAGAGGTCAGTAAGTTGCGCAAAAGGCCCAGAAACCAGGATCCTGTATGGTCCAAAGATTAATCTTCTGATATGGAAGGAAGATGGAATCATGAAGCAGAGGATGATTACAAACTGATTTTCACATTTTATTTATTTTTGCCTGTAGGTGGCACTAATAGGAATTTGGTCCTTTGGTTTTTTTTTTCTCACATTTTTATGAAATGTGGCATGTGCCTTGCTTCTCTGAGGGCTCCAGTTATTGTTCAATCCTGCAAACATTTGTGTGGACTCTATACTGTATGTGTGTAATTAACATATAATCCATATTATAAAATGCAATTTACATTTTTTTTTTTCTTTCTCTCATTCTATTTTGTAGTGTCTAAGCTCAGTCTTTGGTTTTATTGTTATCCACCATTATTGCACCTTTTAGTTTCATATCAAATTGTGTAGCACACAGGACGATGTACATTAAAAGTAATGCCTGTAATATCATGGCTACAAGTTGGAATCATTCTGCCCTTCTCCAGATCTTTCTCAATCCTCATTTGCTCTTTCTCCAGTGGATGGCAAAAATGCTGCCTGCTTTAAATCCTTGAAAGGTCTCTTGCATTCCAACATTTGCTGCTCTATTGTTTTACTTGATTGACATTACTACCTACTGAGTGCCCAAACCATGCCAAAGCAAAAAATTGTATGGGTCATACCACTGAGACTCCGAGTGTTAAAATGAAGTCTCCACCAGGCAGGGTGCCTAGCAAGGAGGACATAGCATGCAGGCGGTCTCCTGTTGGCCTTGTCACGTTTTCTGAGGCTCTCGTTAACTGATTTCTCCAATATAAAAGGGGCTTTGCAGCAGGAAAATGCAAACAATAGAAATTCTTTAATGTTTAAGTAAGAACTGAACAAATATTTGAGGGATTTCAGAGTCAGATGGACAGACCTCTTTAAGCGCTATCTCCCTTTTATAGGAACCCCAAGAGGTGTGTCCATAATCAATATGTATTTTACCAGACAGACCTTTTATCAGACAGAAGAATATTTTTAAGAGCCATAAATGTGGGATTAGTTAAGCCTTGTGTCACATTTCTGTTTGACATTTTACCTTACTTAAAAAAAAAAAAAAAAAATATATATATATATATATATATATATATATATATATATATATATATATATATACATACAACAAAATTACCAACCCATTAAACCATGAAAGGTAGCAAAAAGCTGTTTGTGGCTGTGCTTGCATTGCGTGCAAGGAAATGCTTAAGATGTCTGATGTGTATACTGCTAGATCACAGTAATGCCACTTTGCCAGAAAACCTGTTTAGTTGTGAAAAATACTGTCTCTGTTTGGACTGAATCAGTCAAATCTTGCTCCTGTCTGTCCCTGCAGTGTTCTGCAAGATAAAATGATATAAAAAGTGACTTCCTAACTGATATATATTATAAGTTTAGGGAGTGTGGCAACTCTTGCACTTTAAAAAATCTTTTTCCTTCCATTATGCTTCCTAAAATTGCATCTAATTATTATTTTTTTCTGTAGCAGTGCTATAAAGCTTCTCTGTTTTTATAAAAATAACTTATTCAATCAACTTGGCTTCATTTTATGGGTACTCTTATGTCAGTGACCTAAATCCCTAATCAATATTTCTGGTAAGTTGGAATTTTGCCAATAAGGCATGGTTAAAAAGTGGCAATCCAGTTTCTCTTTATGAACACAGAGGACAAGGAGACAGGCAGATTCAGAACACCCATGTTTGGCCAAAGTGGCTAGATGGACACTGGTTGGGCTTTAACCATTTATGCAATTGGGGGGGAGGGGGTTGGAGAGGAAAAACAATGCAAATTATTTGTACAACTCTTGTACATTCCTTGGAAATAGATTCCTTAATCTGACTGTGGGAGAGTGGTTAGAGAAATGTAGCCAGAATAACCCACCTGTAATATATTAACAAAAAACACCCCAGTCAGACACAGTATGCACACACTAGATACATTATACACACCATGGCACGCTGCTGTATACACAATGACACAGTATAGATAAAATACACACTTACACTCAATGCTTCACTCACCGTCAGACACCGTATACACATTGTAGGTACTTTTCATGTGATTTAGCAAACTTTCCACTTCAGGTTTTTTGTTTTGTTTTGTTTTTTTAAACCCGCTGTGATATTATTTAACATCTAGTGATGTTGTGCATATATAATTAGGTATGCAAGTTAGCATGTCCAGTATTTATTTCTCTCTCAATCAAAAGTGAGAACCCTACTTCTACTCCGTTACTCACTATTTTGTCTTTTTAGCCTGAATTTTTCAGTTCTGTTTTCAATATATGACAGTTTGGTGTACAAAGCTAATATCTCTTTCTAGGAAAGTAATGGTTTCTGGGTCTTTTTATTCTCCTTTACATGTCGTGACACTTATTTGCACAGATCTTTATGTTATTGCTTTTTTTTACTTGGCAACTTACTGTCACATTCCACTCATGCACACCTACCTTGTGATGTGCACTAAGTCTAACACATCTCTAGCCTGGAGTAACAGCAATAATAAACCTGTCAGCAATAGGGCTTAGATGCTTGTAATTAGTAACTGGCTGTCAGCAGACTTTAGCAAAAAGTGTCACTTTAATAATGGAAATAAGTGTCTCTCTTCTTCAAACACAATGGCTTACTGCAGGCAACCACTCCAGCTCAAACATGCAGTTGCTATGACACCAGGCTAATATACTGTGGAGGCATTCACTACTTAAAGGAACACTATAGTCACCTAAATTACTTTAGCTAAATAAAGCAGTTTTAGTGTATAGATCATTCCCCTGCAATTTCACTGCTCAATTCACTGTCATTTAGGAGTTAAATCACTTTGTTTCTGTTTATGCAGCCCTAGCCACACCTCCCCTGGCTATGATTGACAGAGCCTGCATGAAAAAAAACAACTGGTTTCACTTTCAAACAGATGTAATTTACCTTAAACAATTGTATCTCTAAATTGCACTTTAATCACATACAGGAGGCTCTTGCAGGGTCTAGCAAGCTATTAACATAGCAGGGAATAAGAAAATCTCAATTAAACAGAACTTGCAATAAGGAAAGCCTAAATAGGGCTCTCTTTACAAGAAGTGTTTATGGAAAGCTGTGCAAGTCACATGCAGGGAGGTGTGACTAGGGTTCATAAACAAAGGGATTTAACTCCTAAATGGCAGAGGATTGAGCAGTGAGGCTGCAGGGGCATTTTCTATACACCAAAACTGCTTCATTAAGCTAAAGTTGTTCAGGTGACTATAGTGTCCCTTTAAGATGATTTGGATAATTAAAGGGATGATTGACCGTGTAGGTTGACTTTAGGTTTCAAAGGCCATATGGTGTAAGTAAGATATAATACAATTACTTGTCTATATAATACAGGATATGGTCACACACTCACCATTGTATGTAACCCTCTAAAAAATAAAAAAGTAAAATGTTCATGTAGTGAAAAATTATATATTTTTTTATGTTTAGTGTCTTTTTGTGAACTGAATGTGTTTTGTGTGTATTATCTTCAGTGTGCAATGTAAAACTTTTTTTTTAATTTTTTTTTTTTATTCTTTTTAGACTCAAAGAGCTACTGAGAGCAAAATTAATCGAGTGTGGATGGAGAGATCAGCTAAAGGCACACTGCAAAGGTAACGTTTCAACGTAAGAATGTTGCACAAACAGCCAGAAAACCTATAGTAAGCAATTTGGTCTTTACATTATACTATCCTAATTATTTACAGCTATGTAGACCTGTATACAAGTAATTTTACTGACCTATTCCATGATGACTGGTTGGTGTAACAATGACAAACGAATTCATTGTTTTAAGATACAGTTAAACGAACACGTAAGTGTTATGAACATATGCATGTATTTCTAAAGCTGTAGTGTTACTCTACCCTCACTCTGCTCCACTGTGAGGGTTTTAATGGTAAGCTTTATTTATCAATGCTCCTTAACAGCGCTGCTCTCAGCAAGGTTGCCCCTCTTCCTCGGTTGAGATAATCAAACTTTATTATCTAAACCAGTCCAATGTTTCCCCATAGGTGGCTAGTGTGTATACACAACAGTGTCGCGTTGCACCAATCAAATGATCTCGGAGGCCATCTGATTGAATGAGTTTGACTCCGTTATGGAAGACTGCCACTAGAGTTGTATTTAGCCCTTCCTTGTAAAAAGTGCTGTGTCTGCAAAATGGCAATGCTTTACATGGAAGGGTAAAAATGACAGGACCACTGCACCCACAACACTCCATTGAGATGAATTGATCTGAATGACTTGATCCTTTAAGCACCAAGGGCACATAATGCTTCAGATAGAATTTTTGTTTTGCTTGACTGCTGTTAAATTAAGTACTATTAGTTATAACATCAAAGCCCTACCCCTTTCTGTATTTTCTCTCACTAGGCTTAGTTCTCTTAAGTTCTGCTAATTTCTGTGAGGTTCCCTTTAATCAAATGGGACGCCGCTGTTTTTACATAGATCTCGTTATAGCAGTGAGATTTGCATGGGGAAAAAAACACCATTCAAATGTAAACAAATATACTCTGCTAATCACAATACACTTTTTTTTTTTTTTTGGCAAATGGTGTTTAACAAAAATTATTTTTTTCTTTTAATTGTAAAACTTTTTAATATTTAAAAATCTGTAATGAGATGATTTGCTAATATTTTCCTTAATATCTTAATTTATTCATATGGGTTGGTTCTGAGGAGTATCGGTTATTACACTGCAATGAATGGCTAAACTCCCACACATATCCACCTTTCTTTCTTTTAATGTTTTAATCATAAACATATGGTTTATTTTAGATGTAATCAATGAAAAAGGCCTTGAACATGTAACTGTTGATGATTTGGTTGCAGAAATCACACCTAAAGGCAGAGGTAAGTGTCCTCTCTGTTTTTGTTCTTATGTTGACGTAATCTAAGGAAGAATTATTCATTTCTACATTATCATCATATGTTCTGCTTATGTTAGAAGAAGTTTTTAAAGGTACTTGCATCACTTTGACACAACTGTCTCATTTAACAGCTGTAGCTTTGAATGAGACTGTTGCCTTACCCTGCAAGCTGAAAAAAAGCAGATAAATGTGGGTTTTATTCATATTTATCTGTTTATTCTTTCTTGGGCTTTCCACACTTACTCTAGGAAGTACACTGATCTAACCAATCCGTATCCTATCCCTAGGAATGCTGAAAAAGTGATCTCTTCACCTAGTAACCTCCTGACTGGGTGAAAAGAGGAAATCTAATCAGGGTGCTCATGCAGAGCAGGCTCCGTTGTCTGTTTTTCTCTCTCCTGCTGTTTGCTGATTTTAAAAAAATTGTCAAGTGATGCATGTCCCTTTCAAGTAACTTCACTAATGTATGAATTGAATAGGATTGGCTGATAAATCTCAACAGCCAGTAATCCTCAGTATTTGCAGCAAATGATCGACTCTCAGAAAGAACTGTTTGTTTGGTTTTTTTTGTTTTTTTTTCTTATTTTCTTTTTCATTTGCATATTTTAAATGCACAATGTTCTCCATTATGCATTAAAATTAGAGATGAACTCTAACCCAAAGTGTCCCCTTAATAATTATTAATCTAAGGTAGGTGCTATATATTGTTATGGTGAGCCACTATAATGCAATGCTGAGACATTATTCACATGTATATATGATATGTATTAATTTGCTCTTATTACTTTGTCTTCTTTCAGCTCTTGTGCCTGATAGTGTGAAGAAAGAACTGCTGCAAAAAATCCGTACTTTCCTTGCTCAACACGCCAGTCTTTAATTTGAAATATTATCCTTTTTTTTTATATAAAATAATGTAAACTGTTTTTTTGTTGTTTGTTCACTTTTGCATATGTAAGATTTTTTTTTTTTACACCATTTTACAGCATGTTTTAATAAAACTGTGCCATATTAATTGTTGTTGCTGTAATTTTAACTCCTAATGATAATTTGTAGCTTATCCTTCATTTCTTTTAGACCTAAAAACCTAAGCATCACAGGAGATGTAGGTCACAAACTTCTAGAGTGCCACATTTAACGATACGATACAAATAGATTGGTAACATTTCGAACCACTAGAGTTCTTTGTCAAACACTGATGAAGATTCCAGGCGTGCCGACGTGCTATAACAAAGAACACAGGGGAAGGAGAACAAGTCAATTAGCTTTCCCTTGTCCCATGTATGTTTTTGTTTGCTAGTGCAATTGCAGAAAGATTGTATATCCATCTGGATATCAGACTAATCCCACCCATAAGGGCAGTCCAGAACTGATGTCCCAGGCAGATCACCAGAGATAAAGCAATGATTGTTTCAGCCTTTTTAGTGAAATATGGCTGATACCCCTTTGGCTCAGTGAGCAAAGAGACAGTGTTTGGATTAATCTTCTAGCTTCAGAGGGACCATCAGAACTACCTAAACTTCACTAAATTCTGAATTGTCGCAAATTAAAATCTGAAAGGCTAAACTGAGGATTTAATGGAGCTCAGTTGGAGCATTTTTCCAGACAAGCTATTTGTTTTGCCATGTGTATCTTAATTTGCTGCAGTATAGAGTTAAGTAAAATTAACAAAATTTAAGTATTTGCGAAAAATCTAAACAGTATGGTTACTGAAAATGTTAAAAAATAAAATTTCCAGGTCTATGACGGTATCTCCTTCATTCACAAGCTTTCATGCACAGACCTAGATTGCAAATACAATTTTAGAAGGAAAGTAAGTGTTCCATCCATCTTAAATGGACTGTGTGTATGAAATGAAATAATTTTGAAATAAAATCAAAATAAACTAGTTATGCTCCTGCATTTTGCAAATTATTTCTAAACACATACATTTTCTATATTATTCAGGACGATTATACAGTTGTAATTAAAATTATTCAACCCCTATTGAAAATCAAGTTTATTGTCAAATCAAACAAAAGCAATTGAAATAGCTCAACACAATGAATGCTCCAAGTGGTTTTCCCAAATTCCACAGAAAATGCAAATTATGACTTTTCCAGTTTTTAAATTATTCAACTCCTTCATGTAAGGCAGGGGTTCTCAACGTTAGTCCTCAGGACCCCCTACCAGTCCAGGGTTTAGGGATTACCTGGGTGTGTCTAAGGTGTTTTAAGGTGTGTTTTTTTTTTTTTCCTTTTTCTAAACACCTGAGACACACCCAGGTAATCCCCAAATCCTGAACTGGTAGGGGGTCCTGAGGACTGGGTTGAGAACCATTGATGTAAGGCATATTTAGTACTTGATAGGGCACCCTTTTTTGTTATCATGACCTGCTGCTAATGAAATACATAGCCAGACATCAGCTTCTGGCAATGTTCCAGAGGAACCTTAGCCCATTGCTAAGCAATGACCTCCATTTCAGTGTTGTTCTTGGGTTTACATGCTTCCACCGCCTTCTTCAAATCCCACCATTTTTTCTATGGACTGTGATGGCCAATGTAGAATTTTCCAGAACTTCTTCTGCAACCAAGCTTTGATGGAATTTGAGGTATGCTTGTGATCATTGTCTTTCTGGAAGGTCCTATAACTCCCAAGCTTCAGCTTCCTCACAGAAGGCACAACATTTTCCAAAGATTTCGTGATACTTTATTGAATCCATCTAGCCTTCCACACGCTGCAGGTTTCCAGTGCCAGAGGATACAAAGCGGCCCCAGACCACCACCATATTTAACAGGAGCCAGAGTGTTCCTTTTAGTGTATGCTTCACACTTCTTCCTCTGGGCATACTACTTCGCTCCACAGAATGATGAAACAGGCTTTTGGGTCAATAGTGTATGTCTTGGAGGGTATACATGCCATACATTCCTACTTTGTTTCTTGCCAACAAAAGATTAAAGTACCATCATAAATCTTTTTAGGAAATCACATAAATGTGTTTTATATCATTTTTTTTTTTTTTAAATTCCTAAAGAATTAAACACATTGAAGGTTATCGGTTAAGACCGTGTGTATCGAGGCTAACTGAATTCAGTTTGTGTATTTAAAATTCAGCCCCTAGAAGATGTGTAAACAGAATATAAAAAAGAAGGGCTGCGCCAAGCTAAATAAACAGTATTCAGTCCAAATAATGGCAGTGGTATAATAAAAAGTCCAACCTAAAAAAGTGTCCTCTCTGTCGTCCTAGGGTACAGGAACAGGATCTTCAGGTATGATATAAAAAATAAAAGGAGAGAACAACCTATAGTGCAGATTGTATGTATCAAGTGAAGTAAAATTCGAATAATAGTAGCAAACTCACAATATATTAGAACTTCTGTCCAGCTCTAGGGTAAAGCGCACACAGCGGTATAATCCCCGCTTATGGGATATGTGGTGAGTGTCTGTTCTTCAGTGGTATCCAGAAGCTCAAAGAGAACAGAAACAAGCCAGATAGTACTCTCTGTATGGATGTATATTGTAGGTAGAAATAAAATCGTACTTACAAGTACAAAGCAGTCCAACTGCTCTTTGATGTCAGCGCTGGTGGAATAATCCCCACCTAAGGATTTCTTTGACTGCCAGAAACTTGCACAAATGTTAAAATCAGAATAAAATTATTTATAAAATATATATATATAATATGCCAGGGGTAAATGTATAAATAAAAATAATTGGAACTATCAAGTAACCAAAATTTTATATTTATTATATAAAATTATATTTCCATTAACGCGTTTCGTCATACAGACTTTTTCAAAATGGAATGAGGCATTCCATTTTGAAAAAGTCTATATGACGAAACGCGTTAATGGAAATATAATTTATACATTTAATTTATACATTTACCCCTGGCATATTATATATATATATATATATATATATATATATATATATATATATATTTTTATAAATAATTTTATTCTGATTTTAACATAATTTCTGCAAGTTTCTGGCAGTCAAAGAAATCCTTAGGTGGGGATTATTCCACCAGCGCTGACATCAAAGAGCAGTTGGACTGCTCTGTGCTTGTAAGTACAATTTTATTTCTACCTACAATATACACCTATACAGAGAGCACTCTCTGGCTTGTTTTTGTTCTCTTTGAGCTTCTGGATACCACTGTAGAATCAACACTCACCACATATCCCATAAGCGGGGATTATACCGCTGTGTGCGCTTTACCCTAGAGCTGGACAGAAGTTCTAATATATTGTGAGTTTGCTACTATTATTCGAATTTTACTTCACTTGATACGTACAATCTGCACTATCGGTTGTTCTCTCCTTTTATTTTTTATATCATACCTGAAGATCCTGTACCCTAGGACGACAGAGAGGACACTTTTTTAGGTTGGACTTTTTATTATACCACTGCCATTATTTGGACTGAATACTGTTTATTTAGCTTGGCGCAGCCCTTCTTCTTTTTTTTATTCTGTTTTTAGCCTGTATTTTAGGGTTTTGGGGGGATTCCCTTTTTTGGGTTGCTGCCTAATAGGTTCACTGGCGCTGTCTCTCTCTTTTATTTATTTATTGTTATCCTTGAAGATGTGTACCTTGGTGAAGAATATAGAATAATTCTCGCGTGGCCATGTAATATAAATGACCTCACCACTGTAGGGCCATCTCATAACTTTACCCCCATGAATGTATTATATGTATAAGCAATATCTGGCAAATTATGAAAATGGATTGATTCTCACAATATCTATCTCTGTTTTCTCCACCTATTGCACTCCACATATTCCACAAACTGCTAGTAAAGTTAATATTTCTCATGGTGCAACCAATACATTTCTTCTCTGAAGGTAAGTTAATTTTAAATACACAAATATACCTGCCCCTTGCAACATGTTTGCAGCATTGATATTGTTTCACCAACATAGGTGCATTCCACTTTGGTGCAATCATTTAAATTATCGTCTTCAACTCATTAAGAATTTATGACATGTCCTGCTGGTCACCATAGCAAGGGATTTAATTTGCCCTTTTCCTGAATGGCAAACTAGGAAAACACCATTCCTTATTGTGCTTAAGCTTTCTTTGTTGCAAAAGGTATACCTGAACTTAAAATATCTAAATGTGGGACAGGTTTGCAAAAGCCTTTTGTTTAGTTAATCTTTTTAAATTCCTAACTGAATTACGTAACAAAAGCAGCTATATATTTATCCCTACTACGTCTGTGTAACTGGGTATAGCGGATCTATTTTTTCGTTTCAAGATCTGATCATTACTCATGTTTCCATAACACCTTTATATAATCACATCGTACATTCTGTTTTTTGCTTTATGTCTATATTATCCAAACAATCATGGCTTAGTAATATAAACTGGCCAACACTGGATACCTTATATGACGTCAGTTGTATCAGAGATGGCACAAAGTAATGTGTTCCTTGTGTCCCCAGTCCAAAACTGTCCTTCTAGAAATATACAATGCTTCTAGCTGTTAGATGTGATGCAAACATCAAATACAAAGTCTAGTAATTATCAAAATAATAATTAAAAAAAAAATAGTGCATTTACAGTAAGTACTGTGTGTGTGTGTGTATGTGTGTTTGTCAAGATTCTGAGGCTCATTGTTGTGCCATTCATCCACGACCATCACCTCATATTGCAGTATGATAATGCACTGCCCCATGTTGCAAGGATCTGTACACAATAACATCCCAGTTCTTGCATGGCCAGCATACACGGACGTCACCCAATTGAGCATGTTTGGGATGCTCTGGATCGGCCTATACGACAGTGTGTTCCAGGTCCTGCCAATATCCAGCAACTTCGCACAGCCATTGAGGAGTAGAGATGTTGCGAACCGTCCGCGAACGGTTCGCCGCTGTTCGCCACGAGCTGTTCGCGGCGAACTCCGGTCAGCTGACACGTCCCGGCCAATCTCCCGCAGACCCTCCTACTTCCTGGACAGCATCCATGTTGAAACATGGATGCTGTCCAGGAAGTAGGAGGGTCTGGGAGGGAGGGTCTGCTGGAGATTGGCCGGGACGTGTCAGCTGACCGGAGTTCGCGACATCTCTATTGCGGACGGTTCGCGACATCTCTATTGAGGAGGAGTGGACCAACATTCCACAGGCCACAATCAACAACCTGATCAACTCTATGGGAAGGAGATTTGTTGCAGTGTGTGAGGCAAATGGTAATCACACTACATACTGACTGGTTTTTGGACCTCCTCGCGCCCCCTAATACCATAAAACTGCACATTTTAGAGTGACCTTTTATTGTGGCCAGCCTAAGGCACATCTGTGCAATAATCATGCTGTCTAATCAGAATCTTGATATGCCACACCTGTGAGGACGACGAGCATGCAGATGACTTCCCTGAGACGGTTTCTGAAAGTTTGTGCAGAAATTCTTTGGTATGCAAACTGATTGTTGCAGCAGCTGTACGAGTGCCTAAACATAGAAAAAGTCTTAGATCTTTGAGTTCAGCTCATGAAAAATGGGGGTAAAAACAAACGTATTGCGTTTATAATTTTGTTCAATGTATGTCTCTATCACCACAATCATCCAGCATAATATATGTCTCTTTCACCACAATCAGCCATCATAATCTATGTCTTAATCAACCATTATAATTTATGTCTCGTTTACCACAATCACCAATCAGAATCTGTCTCTTTTACCACAATCATCCTTCATAATCTATGTCTCTTTCACCACAATCTTACATCATACTCTATGTCTCTTTCACAAAAATCATCCAGATTATTCGCTTTTTGTTTCAATTTTTCACCAGTTATTTAATACATTTTGTCTCTTTCAGCAAACTCATTCATCATATTCTGCTTTCCTCCCTTTCACTCGAGTCATCTGGAATATTCTGTCTCTCTCCCTTTCCAGCTAATCAGGA